TATTTTTTTTTTGTAATGTTGAGTATTTCAGCTATCGGTAGAGCGTCCCTCTCACTTGTTCGTATTTTGTATTTGGTGTTGACCGGAAGGAAAACGTGTGAGGGTGGCAAGAATGAGACGCTACGAGAGGCAAAATCGAATGGAAGAAATACTTTTTGGAAAAACAAATATTAGGTGTTGATCGAACTCCTGACTTCTTGTTTCCGCATCATAGCGAGAAATGTCCTAACCGATCTTATGTCTCCATTAGAGGGAGTATGTCGATAGCCTATGATGGATGGGCTGTGCCCATCAGCTGCCCACGATGGCCACATCAAAGGCTGCCCAACAAAGGCGGCCCATTCCCCACCATTTCCTGCCCTGCCCATGAGCTGCCAACAATTCTCTGCCCATGGTGGGCTACCCATGATCTGCCCATGATAGGCTGGCCACAAACCACCCATGGTGGGCTGCTCATGAGCTGCCCACGATGGACAGCCCATGGTGGGCTGCCCATGAGCTGCCCACGATAGGCTGGCTTCATCCGCCCATCGTGGGCTGCCCGTGGACTGCCCATGCCCATGGTGGCTGCCCGTGGGCTGCCCATGCCCATGGTGGGCTGCCCATGAGCTGCCCACTATGGGTTGCCCATGCAACCCTGCCCATGGTGGGTAGCCCACCATTACGATGGGCCGCGCGTCATGGGCTGTCCATGGGCATCCCCATGGACAGCCCATATGGGTCGCCCATGGGCATGCCCATGGGGCACCCATGAGGCACCCATGGGTCACCCATGGGCAACAAACGCCCGATGGGCCGCCCATGGGGCACCCATGGGTCACCCATGGGCCGTTTGGGAAAAGTGTAGAAAGTGTGGGAGACCCTGCCAAGCCAGTTCAAGCCAGCTCACCTCTCACTGATAAACCCGGACTTGCTGTTAAACATGTTACGGTTAAACCGTAGCCGCTACTGCGTCGGGAGTATGCAGGTGCGGATGCACGAGATGACAGCTAGCAGAATGTTTAGGCACGGCCAAATATACTGCAGATTGTGATCTTTCTGAAGCTTGGTGCTGTACCACTCACTGCCATTTGTTGAACAAGCGTGGCAAAGCCATGCAGTACACCACTGTGCACTGTCATCTGTTGAACAAAGCGTGGGCAAAAGTGCACCCTAAAATATTGTTGTCCCAATCTTCCCAACACCATTTTTTTAGATTTCCACGCGCCGAAATTCGTATTTGTTGGATTATGTATGTTTACACAAATGAATTGCCAAAAAAACACTGAAAGCGCAGTGGACAAATCAATACGAGCGCGTCGTAAGCTCTCTGCTACATAAGTATATAGACTACATAATTTCTGCTGGTGGCCTGTCGTTCCATTCTCTATGTACATGTACCAAACAATCGGGCTTGACAACGTTAGTCAGGCTCTGCACGTCCACGCGTCCCACGACCGGGGTATCTCGTGCACGTACACACAGATCGTTGGTGATGTACAGCAGAAAAGAACATTAGACTACATGTAGGCGCAGGTTCGAAGCCGTGAGAAGTAAGTGTGCCTCTTCGTCATGCTCCTTCCACGCTTGCTTCTCTAGGGACTGCAATATGTTGTTGAACACAGCGAGCATTAAACTTGACGCACCGTACAATGTGTGTGAACCTGACTGTGCATGAGTGTGGCTTGTACCATAGGTATTGCCAGTAACAGCAGCACTAGCAATTGTTTGCACACAAACACACACACCCTTTTCATTGGTCAGCCGGTTAGCGCGGTCGATGCTAAGGGTCGTTCTTATCGACCAATAAAACACGAAAAAAAAAAAAAACGTGTTTTCTTGCACACATATGGAGGCGTGTTTCCCCGAAAGCGTGAAAAGGAGCCGGGTTTGGGGGCTTGCTACTTTCACGAATCCGTGTTTTTGACAGAAGCATCGGACAAGCGCACCGCGGGCGCTGTAACATCACTCAGAACGCTAGAAAGACCTGCCAAACTCACGTCCAGGTCTGTTGTGGAGATGGACAAGCGGCAGAAACGGCGTTCAGTCGGTTCTTGGCGCAAAACTAGACATTGCGTGGTGCTCTCGTCTTCAACTGCTGCTGTTGGTGCCGGGGGACTTTTTTCAATCACACATAGCAAAAACGGAAACAGTAGAACGAGTACAGCAGCAGCACCAAGACCTCCAACGCGCTGATTCCTTCGGTTCAGCTGTCCATATGATACCATCTCCCGGCGCCGTGCTGCTTCGTGGGTATTGGGTGCTTGGGTGCTGCTCAATAAAGTGTGTGAGACGTGTGCCACCTCACCAAAATGCCGTTGGAAAAAATGCGGCGAGATGTTGCGTTTTTGGTCGGACGCATCAACATCAATCCACGGCACCACGCAGCAGTAGAGCAACAGGGCCCCCGACACGCTAATTCTTTCGGATTGGCCATCTATATGATGCTGGCCGTCAGCGCGGCTGCCGCCCTATGATTGTTGAGCTCGTCTACCTTTGGGCAGGTGGTGGTCAAAGATGGGAGTCGCAACCGTGAAAATGAGCTGGCAAACTGAAGAAATCGCAAGCAACACCCAGGTGGCGACACTCTGCCCTGCGCCTGTTGTTGCTGAAAACTGAAACCAGCAGGCCAGGTGGACGGGATCTTTCTAAGTGTGTTGTCCTCGCTGCTGCGGCTGCCGGCGTTGCCGCCGCCGGAGCTGTCACTCCCGTTCCTGCCCCTATCGAAGGGGTACGCCACCCCTGGTACCACCCCCCTTCTCCTCGCGCCACGCGAAGATGTCCTACCGGGGTCGAAGGGGTGCGTCGGGGCTCCACTCCGGGTTTCATCCATCCCCTGGTCCCCGCTCCCCGCCATCGCCGCTGTCCTCGCCGCTGCTGCTACAGTTGCTGCTGCTACTACTGCTGCTCACGTCCCCCTCAGCCTTCCCTGGTCGAAAGGGTGCGTCGGGGCTCCATTCCAGATTCCATCCAACCCCTCGTCCTCGCTCCCATCGCCGCCGCTGTCCTTGCTGCTGCAGCTGCTGCTACTGATGCTGCTGTTGCTGCTGTTGCTCACGTTCCCCCCAGCACATTGGCCTTCAAGCTCCTCCAGGACTGGCAATGGCGTGGTTGTCGCACCAACCGCTTCCTCCAACTCTTCGTCACATACCTCCGTCACCGGTGCCGCCGCCGCCGCCCCTGCGGCCGTCTGGACACCCGACGCCAACGCGGCGACCGGGGACGCCGCTGCTGCTGCTGCCGCTTCAGACGGCGAAACTACAGCAACGTGATACGATCCAAGCATGTGTTCCTTCGCTACACGTCTACTTCTGAATCCGCCCTCCATGAGATCCACCTCATCACGTTGCCGCACTACTCCAGGTGCTACACGTGATGTCGAGGGCCGCTGGGGAGAGCAAGTGGCGGAGTGTGTGTTAAAAAAAAAAAAACGATATATCGTGTTAGTGTGCACTGCCGCCCTCAGCGGTCTGTGGTGTTAGAGGCTGGGCACTATGTTATCCCAGCAAAAGCAGAAGAAAAAGGACCATGTATTACATATTACATATCCGTCACGCAAGCCCCTCAGGCAAGCTGGTATCCGACACGCGAGCCCCTCAGGCAAGTGCCGGGAGCACACCGCCGTGTGCTTACCCGGAGGCCCCGCATTTGGATCTCAACCCCATACATACCCATCACACCCATACTTCCCATACGCGTATCCCCCATAGAGGATGCACAGATCGGACTCATATCTAAGTACCACAAACATCGACCAATGGCTGACAATTATTCTTGCGACATTTTCTTTGCGGGCTGGGTACAAGTCTATAAGGGCCGTTTTTGTCATGGCTGTTTTTTCCAAATTTCCAAATTCCAAAACTCCAAAATTTTGGAAGTCATCGAAAACTTTGGAAATGTTTCGGAAAAATTGCAAGTCACCAAGGCCCCAAAACCTTGGAATGGTAGTTCCAAATTTTGGGAAAGTTTCCAAAGTTATTGCCTTCGAACTCGCCGCGCAATAGGAGGAGGGGGTAAAGCCTGCAAATCTACCTCACACTTACCGTTTCGTGCACATCCACTCTGCAACAGATGACGGGGGGGGCGCACTCACTTGTTGTTTATTCGAAAGCGAAAACGGCAGTTGGTGTGGCCCGATATAGTGGCAACTATGCGTCCGATAAAGCGGCATCTAAACGTCTTGCCAAAATCTCAACATCTCAACCCGATATACTGTAGTGAATGGCACACATCGGACGGGTCGCTCAATAGTGATATTTTCGGCATCTCACCCACCCAATAGTAGTAACTACAAGCACCAGCCGCCCTGAAATGCCATTGCATGCACCTCATGTACACCTGCTCGTAGCACACACACCCATACGTATCATGCCAGTATGCGCTGGTCTCCAGTAAACTGTGTAAACTCCAAAACAAGCCTTGGGAGAGAACGACGGGCGCACACATGTCGCGCTGGCTGGATGACATTATTCGTAGCACATGCCGCTTAACCGACACGGCAGTTGGACATCAGAGCATTTACCCACAGCTCATACATAGTGGAAATAGGCGGTAGACGCCTACTGGTGCAAACCATTGTGGTGGTTGGGATTGATGCGCCGGAGTGAGGAAGTGCTCGATGTGTGCAATGAATGCTCGGTTTGTTTCCAGGGTGGTGCGCGTACACACACCGCTCTTTTCATATTTTTCTTCTGTTGCACCCCATCCTATTCTGGGGTCTCCCACACTTTCCAAGATTTCCCAAACGACCGATGGGACTCCCATGGGTCATCCATGGGCAGCCCATGTGGGTTGCCCATGAGCGTCCCCATGGGTAGCCCGTGGGCAGCCCATGGGCGGCCCATGGGCAACCCATGGGAAGCCCATGGGCGGTCAATGAGAGCCCAACCTAACCAGTGAACTCCTAGATAATTGATATCTGCTTTGGAACGGGCACTGAAGCGGCAAGTAACCCTAACCCTAACCCTAAGGTCAAGAACGGAGGTGTCCTTTATGTGGCCGAGGGGGCGACCACTACCTTCATGGGCACGTCGGAGTTCAGCAACAACTCTGTTGCAGTGAAGCAGTTCGGGCGGATATCCTGCGGGGACGGGTGCACGAGGAGTGAACGCGGCCTGACCTACATCGTCAAGAAGGGCGGTGCAATCCACAACAAGGTAGGGCCTATGTATATGCACCACCTGTCCCATCTGTTCCAATCTTCTCGTTTGTTCCCCGCTGGGGAAACAGCATGCAAGTAATTTGACGCTGGTTCCTTCGTCTTCTATTTGTTGAGACGAACGCTCTTCAACTTCACACTGGAAATGACGACCGTGCAAATGATGAAGTTGGTCAGGGATGGGGCGACACTACGTTCATACTACAGTCGACCCCGCTTTAAAGACGCTCATGTTTTTTTTTTTCAGAGTGTCTTTAACGCGGGGAGTCGTCTTTAAGGTTCCGGGGACGATAACTCGCCATCCCCGGGGTCGATGGAGGCGAAACATGCATCAAAAGACGCGCCGTTACAGCAGCAATACCACCACGAAAACAAAATGCTGAAAAATTTGACTTCCACACCGCGGCAGTGGTGAAAACGTCACGACCGCTGTCTGCTGATCTTTGTTAGACACTCTTGACAGTAGCAACCCTTGGTCTCGAAGGTAGGTAGTGTTCCAGGTCGACGTTTTTTACAGCCGTGTGCTGCTGCTTTTTTGCGATGTTGATGTCGCTGTGTCTGTTCGGTTTCATTTTTCGACGTGTTGCCCTCACATGTTGAAACGCTCGCCACAACAGATCATCAGCCCAATGGCGGGCTGTTGCAACTGGTAAGATGCAACTTATTCTGGTCACAGGCATTTACCAAACAGGAGCACCTACGCCCGAAACACAGACGGAGACGGAAACTAGGAAATATCGCTGGAGACGAAAACACCGACGAAGACAAACATAAAATCTGAAACAACCCATCGTTCCTGCCAAGGGGTCTACGCCAGAAAATAATCACAAAAAATCCAAGCGAAGCGAAACATGGGTGCGAACCACCGATGGACCACAAACAAAAAAATATATATCTCTCCATAATCTCGCGCAACAGCGGCAGCAGCAGCAGCAGCAGACCGCTTGGTGTGCAGCTCTGTGCAGCTACAGGTTCCTGCAGCAACATTGTGGGGGTTCCGTGCAGTGTAATTGATACCCCCTGGTATTATGTATATCCGCGGGGCACCCTGCTTTTGAGAAAACTGTCGTATTTAAAGCGGGGAGTTGACATAAGACGAGCGTTTTTGAAGCGGGGACGACTGTACAATGTACGTAACTTCTAGCCTGGCCGCTTGTGAAAAAGACTGGACTTGTTTGTTGATAATTGTTCGATGATTTTTCCCGGCAGTGCATGTCAAGCTCGCATCGTTCTGGCCTGCCTTATGAATACGCTTTGACCTGCCAAGTACAATACACCGTCGCCCTTGGCGGAAGGTGGTCGTCGTTTTCATGCTTACTTCGAACATCCCATAGCCTAGGGCGCTACCCTCACGGTTCCTTGGGTGAAGGTCTTTCTGTGCGCGTTCCGCCAGGGCTTGTGCACAGCTGATGTGTCCTTCCTAACGGACGGATCGGATTTGCTGTGTTGATTGACAAGTTTATCGCGAGGTGTACAGAGAAGCTTGCGGTGGGTTTGCAGATTGTCCTGCATCTTTTCGTCGCCGTGCGTTTGGCTCGATCCATCAGAGCTCAACTGTTGTGGCGGATGGAGACCAACGTGTTCAGCGAGTAGCAGACACAGCGGCAATATTGTTAAACAACCGGATACATACATACGTGGAGCGATGAGAAGCGAGCACGCGCTCACAAACAGCTAGGCAGTGACAATGAGTGGATAACAAACACGCGTGTGAGAGGGATTGTGCCAATTTACCCCAAACACCCAGTAAATGTCCAACCCATCATCCGTGCATCTGCGCCTACGTTCCTTTCTGTACTGCAGGGGACGCTAACGTTCGACGGAGACGCCACTTTCGAAAGGAACGTAGCCCACACCGAAAGTTCCAACCAGCGCGGGAATGGCGGGGCAATCTCCAACACGGGCTCGGGCACCATCTTGTTCAAGAGCAAGCTCACAATGAAGGACAACCAAGCCGACGTGAGTTTGCGCGAGTTTTATGAGAAGGTGGTGTTCGCCTGGTATGATGTGATCTTCGCCTATGTATCGTGTTCTACATATATATGTAGACCTGCCGATCTGCATTAATGAATCTGATCGGTTCCCTTTCAGAGGTGGGACAAACAGCGCTTCGTGTGCATGCGCACCGAAGTACGGGGTATTGGAGAGTTAGCGTAGATGCAACGCGCGCTCGAGTCAAGTGTCTGGTCAAAATCGAAATATCAAGAAGCTTGGGTGCAAGCAGCGCCACACTTGTAAAGTGCGACTATTACATCTCGGGTGAGTCTCTCTCATGATATCATGGCTCACAACGGCAGTGCCTAACGACAGCAGCATCACACAAATCCTCACTTGAAAAGAACTTCTACACCAACCCCCTGAGACTTGAAACGCCAGGTGGGTTTCCGAGAACCTCTGTGAAGCGGTCAGTTTCTGGCATGTCTTCAATCTCTGATTCTTAACTGGAGGCCATCCCGACCCACCCATGACCTCTGACGTTATCAATCGGCGGTGGCCGTGGTACAGGCGAACTTCGCGGGTCTTGGTGGAGCGATATACAACCGCGGAGAAATCATTGTGGAAGGCGCAAGTCTTTTCTCTCTCAACCACGCCGCGGTAAGTTGTCGTTCTTGGTGTTGCTTACGGAGCTTTTCAATGAACAACGTGCAGGCCGCAAGCAATTGTCCTCTTCTTGCTCCAGCGAAGTATCTTCCTGGCCTTTGTGTAGTGCATGCCGCACAAAGCACACGGCACGATCGAATGTTAGTCACGGCGACGATTGCTGTATTCTCGTTGTCGTCTTATGCAGGCCGGCGGCGGGATCCACCAGACATCGATTGGCACCATGACCTTCAACGGCATGGCCACTTTCTCGGAGAATTTTGCTGGCGAGGTAAGGAGTCTACTAGCTCGCTGTCGGATCGAATGACATCGAAACAGCGTGATTTATTGAGCCTCTACACAGGTTCCTTGTGGTATTTCGAGATATTTACGTGGAATCCTCATATGTGTTTTCAACTTGTAGCATCTTTTGATGTGTCAAACTGAAAAGAGGTGTAAGGCATCCGCTCAAACATCTTGCTGTAGCGGCTGCCGGTACGTATGTTGTCCTTTCATGTAGGCCCTATGGACCTTCGGGGTGGAATGAGAAACTGACCAGACTCAACCCAGTGGATGGGCTTGGTAGAAATGAATAAGTTGTGGCGAATGTTACTTGGTGAGTTGTGTTCGAAATTCAAAACATACACGGTCGGACAAATGTTACTGACGAGTTGCCTGGTAGGGAATCTTTCACGCCGGGCACTGACGTGCAGTTCCTCGGGCAAGATACTTTGTTTTGATATCAATATTTAACCCTTTTGCGCCATGGCTTTTGTCCCACTGGTGGGCCATAACGATTCCAAGGAATTTTGTTTTGACGCCAGTCGCGACCCGAGGTAACGTGGCATGTGGTCCACCTGTCCGGCCATCATGTCATACAACACCTTGCGGTGTGTCGTGCTGCTTGTTGACCCCATGCCATGGCCGACGACACCAGCCGACAGGGGGCGGTCTGACGAACAATGGTGGCGTCGTCAACATCAACGCCGGTAGTCTCTTTGAGCATAACTGGGCCAGCGCGTCCGGCGACGGCGGCTTCGGTGGAGCTATTTTCAACACAAAAGGAGGGGTGGTGACGTGAGTAACAGCGACACCATGCGTAGTCGTGTTGGGTGTCGTACCAAGGCGACAGACAGGTCGAATGCTGCGGGTCAGGTGGGTTAACGACCAACGTTTATCCCGAGCGCTTATTGCGTGCTCTGGCCGCGACGTTTCGAATCCTTCATGACCTAAACCTCACCGGCGACGTCTTCGAACGGCCCTCGTGATAGCTACGCTTCAGATCTACGTGATGACCAAATAGGCCTACCACAATGCCGATGGTTTGGTTCACTGACGTGCAGAGCTTGGCAGTTCAGCCTGCAACGGTGGTCGTCGTCTTGGTATGTGACATTTAGCCAGAGCCCAGGCGATGGCTTGAACGAAACATGTCGGTCACATCATCCACTGCCTCCGACGCTAGCCTAGCTACCAATCCGAGAGGCGCCTCAACCCTATTACATTTTCGCAATCTTTGCACACGTGCGTGTATCACTGGTCAGTTTTGTATCAACTGTCACAAATCCCGTTCCACATAAGTATTGGTAGGGCAGGGAAATCGCTGGAGTGCTTGCGGTACAAAAACGACTATTTTCTACTGCAGGGGTTTGATACGGTATTGTGAAGGCGTTGCCAAGTCTGTAACGGTTATCTTGGGCGTCTGTGGAAACTAAAAGTACTCTGTGTATTTGCCTACCTGACCCCGCATCACATGCCAGCTACTTTGTCGCTACAGCTGAAGAAAAAGCTGCACAGCAACTGCAGTGACTATGCAGCTGCCTTGACAGAACTTACCCGCGGGTCAACCGCGCAGATCGCGAGGATTCCATTGGTGGGGCAAGCGATATTGTTTGCTGCCTGAACTAACCTAGTCTGGTACGAATCAATGCTGACCTGATCTCCTGGTGAGGTAGGTCTGACCCACGGAAAGACCCTATTTTCGTACATTCCATTCGAACTTGTGGTTTGACGAATATTCACAGGCGGCCAAACTACATACCGTAGTTGACACAGCATATCACGCCCCTGAACCGATTCTTTAAGCGCGATTACCCTTCACCAGAAAGAGTGGTGGGGCAGAAAGTATCGGCGGTGGAATCATTCGTTCTGAAACGACATCATTCGGCTATCGGACCCTAACCCTCGTGCAGTAATTGAGCTGTGAAAATCGATCCAAGCGGGAGTGGTATCTGTGTCATGTTACCTACCGTAGGGTGTCGTGCGGCATGCTCACATGAAGATCCGGTCTTCGCTGTCTCGTTGTTCTAAAATGCACGCTCATGACTTTCACGTTGCTTTCATACCGAACTTGCCCCCTGTCGTAGTTTTTGCGACCGTGTAGGTTCGGTTGCACCCAACGTCGGTTGTTCGTACGTCTGTCTCTTGTGAGTGAGTTCATCTCGGTCTCAAATTGCCCAATGTTCAACTAACCTTTTTACCTTCGTTGCTTCGTGCTCTCTGCGGCATGTGATTTCCTAGGTTGATGGGATCTACAACTTTCAGAGATAACTGGGCCCACTGGGGTGGAGCAATTTACACCAACGACGCCGATGGTCCCGGGTCGGTTACCACGTTCCCCGATGACACCGTGTTCGAAGACAACCGCGCCGAGGTGAGAGCGTGACTGTTAATGTTGACACCCTTGCGTGCCCGTTTCCCTTGGGAGTTACAGGCGAAGCACCACGAACACGAACAGCGCGGAGGAAGTGGAGGTGGTACCAGTTGTCTTGATGGTGTGGGCAATGTGATATTCGCACATGGCAATACAAACGCGGTTGATTACCCTTCGCCCGGAAGAACACACAATCGTCTCCACCTCTCCTGTAGTCGGCGTCTCTCGCTGGTACGTGCAAGATATCATAGTCCGACTATGAGTGGCCGAAACCTGTCTAGTTCAGAACAGTCGTCCGGGAATTGCAGCCCCAATAGGTTTTGACAGGTCGTCACCAATTCAAAAACAAAACAATAATGATGCACATCTCGCCAGGGGGGAGCAAGGAACGAACTAAAAACCTTCGATCCGTCCCGCATTGACCCCGCGTTCGTTTGGAACCCACCTTCTTCAATCCAGTACTGTCCGGACGTGCACAACGGCGACGACGACAACTGCCCAGTAGTGTAGGACGCCAATCGGCTAGTGATGAGCGAGCATCAGGATGAAGGGTGGTTGAACAAGGGTCCTGAGGGTCTTGTATTGAGTTTTCCCCACAGTTCGAACGTCGGGCGCCGGCTTGGTATTTTCATTCATTCCCCTATGCTTAAGAGTAGAACGTTTCAGGGCAGCACAAGGGGGGGAGATTCGGAGGTGGTCCCAAATGTGTAATGTGCGTAGCGATATGGTGCCTTTTGCTGCCCACAAACAGGTAGTGATACGACACCGTCAATAGGTTCCAGCTTGTTTTAGGTGCCTCATGCGCATGTCTTCCCACCACTGCACAAAAAATGGTTCAGTGACGTGGTTGCCCAAGCAAGTTTCAGTCTGGAGTGGGTGAAATTTGTACATTCTCGGCGAAGGAACCGAGAAGAGGGATATTTCCTGCAGTATGGGCGGCACAGATGCGAAGTAGCCGAAATCGTCTTGTCCTCATTGTCGATGTCATATTTTGGGCAATAGAGGAACGCATGAGTAGTACCGTACGCCAAGCGCCAATGGGTCATGCGTCTCCGCAGTCCGCAGAACGAACGGCTAACAGTCACTTGTAAAGATATGGCGCGGTGGGTAGAAAGAGAAAGAACGGTTGGACCAATGTATCGCAAACTACTTCATCAAGCTCATTCTGCATGTTGTACCTATACTCCAGTCATATACACTATCGTTATTCGTGTCCATGGGTACCCACGGGCACCCACGGTCCACGGGGGACCATAATGGCTTTGACCACCACGGGGATCACAACGGGTACCTAGATTAAGCGTAATGTACTCTATAACATCGATTAGGCGGGGTCGACGAAGGCGCGGCTACAGCGAGCTGGTACACCCAAGGTTCCGTGGCCGGCTCACAGCACAGCAGTTAGTGAGTCCAGCATTATTCCAGCTCGGCGCAAGAATGTAACGAAAGAGAGGAAGGTATCTAAAGCCGAATGACAACTTTACAACTGAACTGGCTTGGTGTGGGCGTGGAGGAAAGCGCGTCATTGTGCCCTCGCCCAGATCCACGGCGCTAGGCTCACCCAAGATCCACGCCGCGACGCTGAGGGCGTTGTCGCATCTCCCGTGTTTCGTACAGTGCACGCGCACGCCGAGGCCTTGGGCAGGTCTCTTCATCATACTTACTTGTTGCAGATTTAAACGGTACGGTGGATTTTTTTGTTTTCAAAGCTCCAAGACGTTTCGTCTTTCCTTAGTCGGGACGAATAGGTCCCGTGGTGATCATCATGATTACCCGTCGGCACCCGTAGGGTGCTACATCACCGATACCAATGGATCCCTACCCACGGTTAACACCACGAGTGCCTGTGGCTACCCACGGTGACGACCATGGGCTAGCGTTAGGCATCAGTTTGGGTGCCCATTGGTCACCATGTGTGTGTGTGGCCATGGGTCACCATGGGTAACCACGGGCACTACCCATGGGTACCCATGGGCACTCATAGGCATTGCTCGTGGGAATCCATGGGTACCCATGGGCACCCATAGGCATTGCCCGTGGGAACCCACGGGCACCCATAGGCATTGCCCGTGGGAACCCGTGGGTACCCACGGGCATTCCCTGTGGGAACCCATGGGCATTGCCCGTGGGTACCCACGGGGTAATTTCACTTGGTTATGGCGCGAATGTATCAAACATCTGCACCGAGACAGAAATAAACGGAAAACTACGACGCAATGAAGAGGGCCGCGGGGCGGGAAAGCCTCGGGTATGGTTTGAAACCCTTTTGTCACCTGAACGGGCACGCACGAATGCGTGTTTACTATCTTCCCATTGGCTCGAATGTACGTAAAGCAGCCCCATAGGCAGCGCAAATGGTGCGTAACCAAACCAAGTGCATCCTTCAGCCCATCACCCCAGGATATCTGTGCGGGTGGAATTCCACTCTGCTAGGTAGAGAGCACCAGGGAACTCGGATCGGTAGGAATGTTGGCCCGCTCTCGACACACCGTAGGAGGACGAAAAAGATGGCAGCGGGAGCTGTGCGGTTCCCGACGTCTTCAACCTGCCGTTCCGGAAGTATGTGTTGTACGTGCTTCACTAACGGTCAAAGGTCGGGTGCTGGGACAACAGCTTTTTGGTGAGCAGGAGCTCGTTCTTGAAGCAGATATTGTTGTCCAAGACGAAACGGTTCAGCACCTTTGGCATGCGCATGAGGACATGTCGAAACCCTGGTCAACAAGAGAGGCATGCGTTTCAGAACAAGTGAGGGTAGTTAACGTAGTTGGAGGTACTTAGCCTTAATGGATGAAACAACACGGATTACGAGTGAGACAGCGAGGAGAAGACATCAACGGGGGGCTGTAATGACGGTGTTAACCAGAAACTGCTATTGGTTCGACGCAGGGTGTATCTGACGCACCGCTTAGCCACCCGTTGTTGGACTCGGCGATGGAGGAGTTCCAGTAGAACTCGGGTCTTGCTGCAAGTTCCACAGAAAAAGGTTGTTGTAGTCGTTTGGGTTGTTGAGGATAGACAACGCAAGCTCCGTATGGCCCCGATAATGGAACCTGCCGGCGTCCACAGTAATGATATGCGCACAACACGGATATTGGGTACGGCAGGGGTATGTGTTCGACGACGGCACTTCATTCCAAGTTGGAGTTTGGACACACTGTACACGCCACCCCCAACGCCCCGCAAACTACAACTTAGAACGCCCAACCTGCTGCTGTGAGTAACTTACTCACAGGGAGCACGCCCTACTTTAGGCCGAGGTTTACGTAGTCTCCCGTTGAATTGCCCTGGGTGCTTTGGAACCACAGACCCATGTGTCAAGTACCGGTCGACGATCAGCATCGTTCCAACCCAGGACAGATCCCCTCGGCCGCTCAGGTAGCGGTCCAGAACGCAGGCCTTGTCGTAGAAGAGGATGGTCGGGCGTCGATCCTCATCGGGAAAATTATGTTTCAGGGCCGCGTCCACATCGGCACATCCTTCCGCCTCCAAGAGGGGCACTATCCCGCAGATGATCCCGCAAGACCAGCTCGCGGAAAGGCTCCCCCAGCTGCTCTTCCTTCCTAGGATTGCACGGAGCATCCTCATGTCCTCAGGCTATTTTGTCGGCACACACACGCACGCAGTGACAAGGGAGCTAGGGGTTTGTGATGGTGCCGATCAATGCGGCTTAAATCCGGCTGCTCCCATGCGCGCCAGATTCGTTATGATACATTCGATACCGCCACGTTCAAAATAGGTTAAACCCGAAGCCTGCGGTGTCAGGTGGGCTTCAATCGCAGGCCCTCCTACAGTGTATTCTTGGAGTACATGGTGATGTACACCCTCAACTGTGGACCTTCTGTCTCAATTCCATGCGGTGTGACAAAAAATGTTCTCGTTGTCTGCCGGGCGCGTTCCGTCCTCGCCTGAGAACCCATGTCGGAGGGTTCATCCCGACCGGAACGCGCCTATTGTCCTGTAGCTGTGGTGGGGTTAGGAGTAGAGTGTAGGGTAAAATAGCTTGCACTGTTGAAGGAAATACGTAGAGGTGGATATTTCTCGCCCATGAAGCAGAGGGGCAGTCGATGCAAAAGCCACGGCGCTTGTGCGAGAGTTTTTAGAGTGGAACGTGCACACATCACGTACGGGAGTACCTCTAACATTTGTTCTTGCTGAAGCAAAAGGCACCCCTCTATCGGAGCGGTTTTCCAAAAAAAAACTACCAAAAATAAAGAACTCAAGGGGAAAGGAGTAACAGTTATTGGGGTTCTGAAAAACGGGCCAGATGAAGGAGGAGGACCCCAAGCAGCCCTGTACCTTCGAAGAAGTCCAGAGCCTCCCCTTTAAGAACTCATCTTTTGACTCACGACGAAACACATACTTGAGAGGTAGTTGAGAAGCCCTCCCGAACCCTCTGGTGATGTAAAGACGATATCATGTCGGTAACCAATCACAGGGTATGCCACCGCCGCGATGGATGTTTATGCAGAAACCCCACATCAAAAACGCTTCGTCGTAAATTGCTGTTTGGTCCAAAAGGGGTGTGGGCGTAGCATGCGTTGATTCTACGACACCTCCTGGTCCAAGAAGCGCGCTCGCTGTGCAGCAGTCCACGTAACCTCCCGGTTCCTTCTGTTGAACTCGTCCTCCTGTGCCTGGTGTGCTGTGCACGTTAGCCTGTTGTCCTCGCGATTGTTTCCGCAGGGCGGTTGTGCGACCCAGAACGCGCATTTGTGCCCGTGCGACAACAAAGGAGTGTGTGTACGGGGACGTTCAAGTGACACTTAGCGCCCCTATCCACGGCGCCTCGAAAGGCAGGTCCATGCAAAACACACGGCAGCGCCAACTAACGGCGAGAACATCGAAATGCGCCTAACAAAGTCCCGGCAATACGCATCATTTAAGAATTATATCATCTACCCGCCGCTGTGCAACGTTCTTGGCAGTGTTTGGAGCGGACGAACCCAAACCGCCACGAGCGGAAGGTATGGATAGCGGCGACGAAGTATAAGACTGTTTTGCGACACCAGAATAAAACGAGCCAAGAGTAAGGCATTCTCCGCCGAAAAAAAACACTTGCAGACCTTGAAGTATCGCGTGGACGTATTGCCGTCTATCGCGGCCGCCTGCGTCCAGAAGTCCTGTCCCTCTATGGGAGTGTACTTCCGGCACTGATCACAAGCGTGATCTACCCACGGGGAGTCTCTCCAGTACCTGTCGTTGAGCTCCTCCTCGACACGACGTAGCCCCGCCCAATGATTGCATCCTGACTGCTCACCTCTCTCATCAAACACATCGACAGCCTTGGGATCCCTTGGCTTGAGTGCCTGGCCCGGCAATGCGTACCACTTGTTGTGTGGACCTTGCACGCAATCAAAACGGAGAAAGTTTGAGTAACGGCAAGCAAGACGAAGAACTTGAGTCAGCTGCCAGCACGATAGCTGAAGGCGACTCGCCATCGGTTGTCGGTTCTGTGTGAATAACCCTCCGTGCTGTCGAGGACGCGCGGTCGTTCGTGTAACCGCTAAGGC